TGAAACTACCAAATACAGACGTTCTGACCCGGAAAAGGAAGTAAAAGTCACCAACAATACGTCAACCTATAATAAGTCATGTGATCTCAGTTGGTGTCCACCTGAGTTGACGTCACTTTTTTAATGACGTATACGACTCGCATTTACTGGGGAATATCCGATTTGTCTGCTTACATGGCACACGCAAATGCACGTATCCGATTCATATCCGATTTATTGCCACATATGAGTGAGGCCTGAATCCGATCTGAGAAAATCGGAATCCATGCGTTTTTTTCCTGCTTACACGTTCATGGGTCATATCCGATCTGTGCCACATGAGAGGAAAAAATCGGATTTGGGTCACTTGAACCATGCAGTGTAAATGGGGCCTAAGACAGATTTGTGAACAATATTTTCAGAGAAATAGGCCTTTTGTGCACATAGAAATAGATCTTTGAGTTCAGCTCATGAAAAATGGGGGCAAAAACAAAAGTGTTGCGTTTATAATTTCAGTATTATGATTTAAACAGCTTTCTCAGATGGCCAGATAGTGATTCATCTTATGATTTGTTAAAATATTGGTGTCTGTGAGCCAAGAGACTGTGTAGGTTACAAAATGAGTTATTTAAAGCTTATAGATTAAATGTATGTTGAATAAATAGTGCTAATAAACAGCTGTTGAAATAGTATTCTCAATTAAAAGGATTAGCAATTTGGACCCGAAACAGTATTCTTACGTCATGACTTAACAAGCGAGTTGACTGACTGATTGATTTTAAGGTACCTTTATTGTCAGAAAGGGAAATGAATGGGTTAATCCAATAATCTCCACAGACCATGAGAGCACTTTGAGTTTAAGCTCTCTTGAGCATTTAACCTTGTTATAAAAGATTTGCGGTCACATCATCTGGATGAGGAAGCTGCTGTGACTCACGTTGACGGACGAGGAGGACAATTTTCTGCTTTACTGCCCTTGACTATCCGCTAGCAATGAATAAATCTGCTGCTGTCAAACCCTCAAATAGATTAGAGGGGAAATGAAGTGGAAACTGTCAATTCTATTCATTTTCAATCTTTATTGTTTCAGCTTATTCAGTGTGGTAGTGTAGTGTGAAAGGTACAATTGTTTGAAGTGGAGTTTGAGTAGTCCACGTAGAAACAGTCCAGTGAATGGTGAATGAAGAATGAGAATCCAGTGCTCAGTGTGTTGCGGGTTGCGTGTCTGTGGTATTTTGAAGTGTCCTGTATGCGTAAGTGTGCTGTTTAATTTACAGCAACTCTTCCAAGAAGAGGCAAGCAGGGCTGATTATTAAGCTGGTTCATCATGCCCATATTATCATCTCTGTTTCTAGCAAGCTGATGCCTTTACAAGGGAACATCTTGTGAGTTGATTAGAAGAAGAATCTCCCTTGAGAGTTGATAAGAAGATCGAAGGCTACTGTCGGTTCGGTGGACGAACAGATTATTCGATGTGAAATTAATTCTGTTAAAGGTTATTCTGAAAATTGATCTAGCCTATCTATATATTCATAATTGATTATAATTCGTTGTAATTAATTATCCATGTACAAATACATAGCCTATGTATTCCGTTTTTGGGCAATTTAAAATATTTAGGCAACAATTGATCATAACCAGTATGATTAGTTATTAGTGGAAATGTTCAATATATACTATATTGATATGTTATATAGTAGGCTACTACTACTTTAGGTCCTGCAGTGCATCTCATCCTCATGGACTGATTTGCCAGCTCCTGCTGTGAGATGTTACTCCATTCTTCCACCAAGGCATTTGCAAGTTCTTGAACACATCTGTGGGACTCAAGGTTACACATACAGTAGTTTGGCACTGCAAGGACGATCAGCTGTCCTTCCTGTCTCACTGTAGCAATGTCAACGCATGTGATCGGGACCCTGGCCATCTTTCTCCTGGTGTTTTTCAGAGTCAGTAGAAAGCTCTCTTTAGTGTCCTAAGTTATTGGAACTGGGACCATAATTGTTCACCGCCTGTAAACTGTTAGTGTCTTAAGGACTGGTCCACAGGTGCATGTGCAATAATTGTTTATGGTTCATTAAACAAGCATGAAAACTATTGTTCAAACACTTCCAAATGAAGATCTGTAAAACTTAAAAATATACCCCCAGTCTCCCCCACATGAATGGCAAATCACTAAACCCCAACTGAAGCTGAGCTTTGAGCTATGGCATTTGCGCAGGTGACGTTCAATTTGACTCTCTTTCAAAATAATAATTGAAAATGTTAACCTAATTTACATAATAATTCAGACTCATCTGAGCTGAACTGTTCATTTTAAATAAATCATGCGTAAAACATGCGGAAGACAGACCATATGGCGTTTGTCAAAGTAGCACTGAATAATTCTCCAATCGTGAGCAAATAGATTCTTCCCGGACGATCACTTGGCTAATACTGTCCCTGTCACATCGCAATTCGGAAGCTGGTCAGGAGGATTGAGGGCACAAAGAACTGAGCCAAAACAGACAGGCACTTGAGGAAAACTTCCTCCAGAGCCCACTATAGACGTCAGAAGTCAAAGTCATCCTTCAGCTAAACAACAAGCCCTGCCACACAGAGTTTCAAACGCTGAACCTCTTTTAGACGCCCAGCAAAAGCCTGAACTTGAACCTTTCTATTTTAAGACATTTAGCACATACTCATTGGACAAAACTTGTTCAGGACATGTCTATAGCAAAATTAAACATGATTGTACACTAAAGCTGCTGGGCTCAATTACAGTGACCATATAGTCATATATTAATATATCTATTGAGGTGCTGAAGAGATATAAGATTTCCTGGACAGCTTGCTTTGTGTCCAACACTCAACACAGTCACAGTCTAAAAGTCTCTCTCAAAAGTGACCTCTCAAAGCATAGAGTCTCAGCCTGGGTTTTCCTTTGTTTGTGCTGAAGTGCTGGAGAGTTTCCAAAACACTGTCAGCCAGCAAGCTTCCTTTTAGGGTTATTAAATACCATAAAGAGTCCTCCGTTTTTGTTGTAACGAACTTTGAGCGATGTGCCGTCAATTATTATTGCAGAAGAGCTGACTTTCTTTTTCCCGCATTCAAAATTTGATTATTTATTAATTTATTCAACTGATTCTTTCTAACCCCTTGTGGAATTTGTTTTAAAACCGGACAAAAATAAACGTTTTAGGGTAAATGAAGAAGAAATAATCAAGGTTCTATCTATCTACACTATTATCTAGGTCACTAATTTGTGACATTGAGCGTGTGAACTCCTTTGAACGAAAAATAGATTTCCTTTCTTCTCTGGAGCATTTTCAAATCATGCTGGAATCATGCATGGATCATCATGCATGGATCATCAGGTTTTGCACAAACTTGTGGAGTCTCATGCAAGTTTAAAGGATGCTGTCATTAATTTAAGAAATAATTACAGAAAATTACTGAATTTTTGTTTGTTATGCTGGTTGAAAGTCTACTCATATCCGGATAGCAATGTTAAGGTCTAAATGTATTTTTATGATATCGCCTGTGGAAGGTGTAGGACCATAAAATGTTCGTTCAATAATTGCACGGAATGAAATGATAACGTGTTCCCTGTCAGATAATGTGTGTTTGCATACCACTGAACAGCCTGCAGTGTTCACGCAGACATCATACGTCATCAGCGCGTTCACGTACACTGTGCAGACAGAGCGAGAATGGCAGGCCACAGGCAAACAGTTGTTTACATGCATTATTGTATAGTACTGTACACTCACTACTGTAAAGTTTTCTCACACTAAACGACACATGATGTAATCCAATAACGTCGTCTCTGATTGTCTCGCTTCTGGTCTGTGCTCGTTCGTGTTTTGGAGAAAGGGCGTGGCTTTGGACGGCGATTTGTCGGGAGGGTGGGATTGTATGCTTTCAATGCTAGCAGGCTAAAGTTAGCATTTCCCAGATCACCTATTGCACCTTTAAAGTAATAGTTGGGCATAAAAAATACTAAGATATGTTAGTTTACCAAAGCATTAAATAAATAAAAAATAACTAGAACAAGAATTAAAGGGGTAGTTCACCCAAAAATGAAAATTACCCCATGATTTACTCACCCTCAAGTCATCCTATGTATATGACATTCCTCTTTCAGACGAATACAATCGAAGTAATATTAAAAAATGTCCTGGCTTTTTCAAGCTTTATAATGGCAGTGAATGGCCGGTTTCAGTTTTGAAGTTCATCAAAGTGCATCTATCCATAATAAAAGTACGGCCTACGCAAGTCGACTTATGCCAAAAGAGTACACTTGACGATGAATGATGTAGGAGTAGCGTAAGTTTTGACGCCTCTCATAGTTCAAACAAACAGGGCTGGGCAACAAACTCAAGCTCCTCTGACATTTCTCTTTTAAAATTCTCATTTTAGACTTCTAATTCGTGAATGGAGTTTTGTTTTGCTCTTTCCTCTGCGCTTCCGCGTTCATCATAACGTTGTGTTTCAGGTCAGGGTTACTCTTTCTCCGTGAATCGATGCGTACGGCAGTCTGCCGGCTCCTAGTTATTTTAGACGATAAAAATATGGATATTTTTCTTACACGAACGCATCGCTTCGCTTTAGAAGGCCTTTATTAACCACCCAGAACCGTGTGGAGCACTTTTATTATGGATGGATGCACTTCCATCCGGCCATTCACTGCCATTATAAAGCTTGGAATAGCCAGGACATTTTTTAATATAACTTTTTAATATAACGATTGGATTCGTCTGAAAGAAGAACCTATAGCTTGAGGGTGAGTAAATCCTGGGCTAATTTTCATTTTTGAGTGAACTATCCCTTTAATGTAGACTATTGTTCTTGCCGGTGAACGACTACGTAGTGCGATTGCATTAACGGTGAAATATTACACACTGACAGTTCCAGTTATAGTGCATAGAGAAAAGACTTTGACGGTACTTTAAAGGTCATCCATCTCACTATAAGTAGGAGGGGATGGTGTGGAGAGAGTTAGAGAGAGTCTGTATGTGTAAAGGATTTCTCTTCATTGCTTTATAGTCAGATTGCTCCACATCACCACATCTGCTGGAGAAGGAGGAACTGAGAGGCAGGACAGTCATGAGTAGCCCACCAGTCCTTTAGGAATACTCCTCTGAGAAACACTTTCAACAAGATTTTGCTCGGGTATGTTTGCTTTTCTTTAATCTGGTCTGTCCAAGAATGAAATATAATTTCTAGACATTGTTTGTTATTGCAAAAAATAAAGGTGCAGTTTTTCTATAACGCAGACATTTTTTTAAAAAAAATCCAAGATTCTAATTGTAAATAGAAATGTTACTAATTTTACTCAGAATTAATTCTGCTTCAGACTGCATTGTTTATTATTGTAAGGAGCTTTTTGTCATACAAATTACAAATATTGATTAACATATAAGTTGATGTTGTGTATCTGCTCATTTTATTTGTTTATTAATCCTAGTTTATTGATAGATGTTTACAGTGTAAATTAGACAGTTGCGTTATATTTACTATAAGTGTCAACTACTGCAATTCTTATTAGATTAATGCTACATTAATTACAGATGTGATAACAATAACATTTAAACATCTGCCACCAAAAGTATTTATCTAGGCTCATGTATTACCAATCAATTTATTTAACATAAATAAAAATGCATTCCTGGGAGTCTCTTATTATTATTTATCATTATTTTATCATATTATTCAAACACTTTTTCTAATGACTTATCATTGGTTATTCTACGGTATTACAAATGCTTTTATGTTTAATAATTGTTGTGTGTATGCATCTGTTTTTATATTAATACTAATTTATTGATATATCTTTGTGTTCTGTTCTGCACTAGTTGTACTCCTACAATATAGTTGAAAGTGACATTAAGTTTTCTAAGAAGCAAAATATGAAATAATGTAAAATGATACAAACTTAAAACAAAGGAGGGAAAAGGTTGACTTTAAAGGTTTTTCAGCCTACAGTCAAAACTTTTATTTTACCTTAACTTCTCCAGTAGTGGTCCTGAAAACCTCTTAGACAGGCTGTCTTAATAATTACAGTGATAACCAGAAAAAACAAACATGCTTTTCCAGAGTTTATTTCAATCTATAAGCAGCCACTCCTGAACAAACTAAAAAACAGGAACTGAACTATGGAAATTAAAATCTCCAGAAGCCCCACAGATTAAACATCTCATACCATGAATCAGTGTGTTTATTCAGTTTTGTTTGGGTCTGTTTACTGTTCTTTTAAATGAAAAGTACACAAGAGACATAGTTGTTACTGTTCAGAATATACAGTCAGAGTGGTCGACACAATGGCACAGCGGTGGCGTACATGCTGTGGAACAGCGATCAAAGACACGCAGGACTGGGGTCTGACTGACCCTGAGAAACTCTATCAATTTGCAGTATATTATGTTCACATAAAATAATAACATAATAATGGTAGACTTTTAGAGGTGGATAGGAAATGGAATATAAATAATAATAATAATAATAATAAATATATAAATAATGTGTGTTATATACAGTTGTAATCAAAATTATTCAACCCCCATTGCAAATCAGGTTTATTGGCAAAATTGACAGACTTTCAGCTGTTTGCAATGAACAAATCAATAATTTAAATAGCTCTGCGGTTTCCCCGAATTCAACTGAAAATGCTACTTTTAATGACTTCTGCAGTCTCAAAATTGTTCAACCCCCTGAATAGAATCCCTCACAACGGCACAAATATGCAAAACAGGTGTTGTCTCAAGCACACCTGATGCAACTAATCAAGGGCTTCATTAGTTGCACCAGGTGTGCTTGAGCTAGAACACATGAAATATCTGAGCTATAGGTTTGTTGAATGTCATGTTTCACTGCATGTTAGAAATATGGCTAAGTCAAAATAATGGTCCAAAAAGTAAAGAGAAGATATCATCACCCTTCACAAGCAAGGAACAGGATACAAAAGATAGCAAAGGCACTAAATGTTCCTAGAGACACTATTGGAAGCATAGTTCGCAAGATTAAAGTTAAAGGAACAGTGGTTACACTACCTGGACTGGGCAGAAAAAGGAAGCTATCAACGGCTAATGCACGTACTAAGCGCATGCCAGAGCTCCAAGACGTACACCACTACTGACCCAAAAGCAGAAGAAAAGTGCTCAAAATCATATAAATATGCCACAGAAGTTTTGGGATTCTGTTCTGTGGAGCGATGAAACAAAACTGGAACTTTTCAGCCCTATGGATCAGCGGTATGTCTGGAGGATGAAGAATAAAGCATATCTGAAAAGAACCCTCTGTTTACAGTTACGCATGGTGGGGCTCGGTGGTGCTCTGGGGCTGCTTTGCATCCTCTGGCACTGGAAACCTGCAGTGTGTGGAAGGTAAGATGGATTTATTGAAGTATCAGGAAATCCTAGGAGAAAACGTCATGCCGTCAGTGAAGAAGCTGAAGCTTGGGCGTCATTGGACCCTCCAACGGGACAATGAACCCAATCATACCTTAAATTCCACCAAAGCTTGGTTGCAGAAGAAGTCCTGGAAGATTCTACAGTGGCACTACAGTCACCTGACTTAAACCCCATGGAAAATCTCTGGTGGGATTTGAAGAAGGCGGTTGGTAAACACAAGAATATTACTGAACTGGAGGCCATTGTTCATGAGGAATAGGCTAAGATTCCACAGAAACGCTGCTGGTGTCTGGTTATACATCTAAAAGGTTGTTCTACTAAGTAAAGATGCTTGCTATGAAGGTGTTGAATTATTTTGAGACTGCAAAAGTCCTTAAAGTTCAATTTTTGGTTGAATTTGGGGAAAACACTTGAAACATTGTTTTGAGCTTATTTCAATTACTTCTGTGTGATTGGTTCAATGCAAACAGCTGAAAGTCTGTGCATTTTGCCAATAAACCATGATTTGCAATGGGGGTTGAATAATTTAGATTACAACTATTATATTTAATAATATATAATTATTAATTTAATAATACCTTTAGGTATTACCTTAGTAATACCTAAGGTATTAATGACTTTTAAAAAAAATTGCACATACTCATGTAAGTCCGTCTAATTCGAGCCATCTGCGGTCCTCGATTAGAGGTGAAGGTCACATGCGCGTTCCGTCTCTTCCAATGGCAAAGGGATTTTAATTAAATGCAATACAATTATCTTATGTATTAACTCGTTTCATCTGACTCCATAAAATGAAAGTGTTTTTCAATGATATCTGTGCATCTTTAAATATACGTTAATGTTTGACTATTCCTTTTAACTCCAATGAAAATAAAGTCAAAGTCTGTTAGAATAATCAAATATAACAATTTATTATGTCAGGTAAATGTATTATAACAATTCCATAATCAATTGAAAGATAATCAATGCAAATCATCAAATGTTTTAGGAATAGAGAAATAGATGCAAACCCAACATTTAAGAACTACATGAGCTAGTCCTCATGGGCTATCTGAAATACAGAAAAAGCCACGATCCCTTGCTGCATTCCATTAAATAGCCAGAACTTCTTTTCAATGGTAATTTGCATTCAGGTTACACCTTATTTTGGGGGTAGGGGAGAAAGGCCATTTGTCCACCTTTCTTTGTGTGCCAGTTTCTCTAAACTTCTAAAAAACCTTATTACCTTTTGTTTTACTTATTTGGAATGAGACATCTGAACCAGCCACCCTGAGACCTTTAAAATGATACTAAACACATTACTCAATGATAATCATTCACATTAAACCATATATATATTCTTATGTGAGTTTTAGCTGTTACTGGGTGAAATGTAAATCAGATGAGACTGCGTGAGGGGGAGGTCGAATGCTATTTCAGCAAGTTCCTTTGTTTCAATAGACCATGTGGTCAAGACAGTTTCTCCAACCAGTTTTCCAGTCTTACACTCATATAAAATTGCACATACTCAACTGTATAAGTAATTGATATAGTATATAATAATAATTAAACCCCTTTAACCCCCTCAGACCCTGCTGTCATTGGAATGTACATCACATGTTTTTTTTTTTGTTTAAACCAATACAATTTTATGTTTTTAAAATATGTGTAAAACCTGGTCACTGATTGGTCCCTGATCAATCCATCACAATAACTTAATTACACAATAAACACAATAACACCCTTAACTTAATCTGAAGAAATCCCCCTTTTTACCTTTTTTATGTTCATGATAGCCTCATCAAGTTGCACCTATAAACCTAATAGTATCAAGTGATAATGTTCAAAGTTATTTTAAAGATCTTTCAGCTGCATAATTTTTTTTAAAGTTTAATGTCCATCACAATGGACATCAAGTCTCGAAAGATATCAGCAGCAATAATGCACAAATTTCAAAATGTGTGTATTAATTTCAAAGCTAAAATACAGAGCTAAATTCTAATGTTAATTAATGAAAAACTGTCAGTTAGTTTCTCTTTGGTTTTAGTGAGAAACAGCCACAGTGGATGTGAGATGAATGAATACACAGCACACACACCCTCCACACACACACTGGGGCCTTAATGCTGTTATGCACACAATCATCCAAACAACCAGCAAGTACACATAAACACATCCACAAAGACACATATACTCAGATTCACCCACTACAACCAACAAAAAGTATCAAACGTTTATTTATTGACATTTCATATACTATTACCTTTTTCTACATTCTTATTGCAGTGCTCATTCTCATATGTTTTTTTGTTTTTGTTTTCAAAATCTTCAACACTAGTTCATAAGTATGGTTAAATTATGAGGATTTTTTTGTTGCTTTAGTAATGGTATCCACTGTAGTGAACATGTAAATGAATGAGTTGGCAAAAAAGGTGTTTTTTAGATTCATTTCTACATTAAAGATCAAATATCATGAGGAAGGTTCAGTGAAAAAAAAAAAAAATCAGGTCTGAAGAGGTTAACCCTGTCTGTAATTGTTGTGACCTCTGCAGGTGATTTCCTCCTGGTAACCAATGATCCAGTTCAACTGCTCCTCTCCAGACTCCCTCTACGCGGCTGTGAATGCATCATGGTGCTCCGCCAAAGAGGAAGAATGTCAAAACAGAACAGTGAACCAGTCCGACCTCTGTCTGAGCTTCGGCGCTTACCTGGAGAAGTACCTCGGCCCTTGCCGTTCGCCCTTCTTCCTGCCTATGTGTGTCACCTATCTGCTCATCTTCCTAGTTGGCGTGCTGGGCAACGGTCTGACTTGTATTGTCATCGCCCGTCACCGCGTTATGCGCACAACGACAAACTACTACCTGTTCAGCTTGGCCATTTCTGACCTCCTCGTGCTGTTGCTCGGCCTCCCACTGGAGCTTTACGAGCTCTGGAGCAACTATCCTTTCCTGTTTGGCGTTGCTGGCTGCTACTTCAAAACCTGCCTGTTTGAGACGGTCTGCTTTGCCTCTGTGCTCAACGTGACTGCTTTGAGCGCCGAGCGCTACAGAGCAGTGGTGCATCCCCTGCAAGCCAAACACACGGCCACGCACGCTCATGCCAAGCGCGTTATCCTCGTGTTATGGGCCGTCTCTCTGTTGTGTGCCTTGCCCAATACCAGTCTGCATGGCGTGGAGACGTTAAGGCCCCGTTTTGGACTCACTTTCCCAGATTCGGGGGTGTGTACCGTGGTGCATGATAGATGGATCTACAACTTGCTGGTGCAAGTGACAGCGCTGCTGTTCTTCGTACTGCCAATGCTGACCATCAGTGTGCTGTATGTGCTGATCGGCCTGCAGCTGCATCGGGAAAGGGAGTGTTTCGATTCTAAGATTGGGCTCAATCAGGATGGGGTGAATCAGAGGGCACGTCATCGGCAAGTCACAAAAATGCTCTGTGAGTCCCGTCCCAGTGCTTACCTCTCTGCTGTTGGTATCTGTTAGATTCAACGCGAAACAGCATTCACAGTTTTCATAATGTGACATGTTTCCAAATGAAAAAGGAAACAAAAATCTAGGGAACTTTAATTAGGATTTTATATATTTGGGCCTGATTGGATGATGAAAAGTTGGGATGATGTAGGAAAGGATTGAAAAGTACAGTGTAAAAAGTGTAAACTTGTAATTGTTACCTTAAAGGGATAGTTCACTTTGAAATTAATTTTTGACATGTTTTAGCTTACCTCAAGCCAAGGGCATCCAAGATGTAGGTGTCTTTGTTTCCGCAGTAGTTTCAATTTTGATATTTTTAGGTCAAACCGTTCTTGTCTGTCAGTCATATAATGCAGTCCTATGGGGTCCACCTCAAAGAGCATGCACAGAGAAGTCCAAATTAAACATGATTTAATGCCTCGTAAATGTAAGTGCACATTGATGGCCTAAGACACGAAACGAGCGGTTTGTGTGTGAAAACGAACAGTATTTATATCGTTTTTACCTCTTGTAAACACAGCCAGGTCCAAGTGATCTGAGGGCGCGGGCGCTTCGGTCTGTGCGTTACAAGAGGTAAAAACGATATAAATACTGTTCGTTTTCTCGCACAAACTGCTTGTTTCGTGTCTTAGGCCATCAATGTGTACTTACATTTACGAGTCATTAAATCATGTTTAATTTGGACTTGAGGTGGTGACCATAGACCTGCATTATATGACGGACAGACAAGAACGGTTTGACCTAAAATATCAAAATTGAAACTACTGCGGAAACAAAGACACCTACATCTTGGATGCCCTTGACGTAAGCTAAAACATATCAAAAATTAATTTCAAAGTGAACTATCCCTTTGAGGAGCTACTTGTGTACCTGTTGTTTTGCTTTTATTGCTGAAGTAAGAGTGTTGAATTTCTCCTTCGTGAGAAAAGCTAACGCAAAAGTAACGTAACATTACTTTCCATAAAAAGTAGCCAAGTAACAAAATTAGTTTACAGTTTTTTTAGGAAGTAACGCAACACATTTCTTTTCAAAAGTAACTTTCCCCAACACTGATGTTATTGGTATTGTATGAAAAAAGAATGTTAACCCAGGGTTTACAAATCACAAAAAGAAGGGAACTTTAATTAGGATTTTATATATTTGGGCTTGATTGGATGATGAAAAGTTGGGATGATGTAGGAAAGGATTGAAAAGTACAGTGTAAAAAGTGTAAATTGTTACCTCAAGGAGCTACTTAATGTACCTTATTTAACTCAAATTACGTTTGATGGTATAATCACTTATTCTCAACCTGGAGGCCAGAGCCCACAAGGGGGAATCAGAAAACCTCCACAGGGTATCAAGATGAACTTTGTAAAATAATACAAAACAAACATTAAAATAAGCTAAAGCCATGGTTTTTGTTATTTAGTTCAAAAACTATTTTGAGGAACCAGAGTTCCCACAGTATTGGAAAACCTTGATATATAAGGTAGCATTAGTTTTAAAAGTGTGATTTCTAGACCTGAAAAAGTCATATACACTGTGAAAAATTATATGATCAGTAAGTTATCACAACATATGTTTTTACGTTGCTTTAACTCATCAAAATAAGTTAAGCAATTTTCAACTTTTTTATGTTATACAAGATTCAACTCATTTTTTAAAGTCAGTTAAATGTAATTTCAGTTGAAATGACTTAAACATCTTTTTTTTCAGTGTAAATTAATAAAATCTTATAGCACCATGGGCATTTTCATACATTTTATATGCAGGGTTCTACATGCCAAGCTCTAAAATACTTTATTGGGTGTAAATTTTAAGCAATAAAAAAAATCATTATCCTCCATCCTTATGATATTTGAATATTGTTGTTGGCCTTGAGTCAAAAATGTTGAGAAAATAACCAATTCAGTAAATTTAGTTAAATTATATTTTCTTGACTTTGAATAAATTCAGTTCATTTATATATTATCACATGAAGCACCTTTTAGGTTAACATTAAAGTGTCCTTGGTGACATCATCCCAAAAAAAAAAAACATTTCAGAGGCTGAGCAAATATTACATTTTAGGTTAAATATTAGAAAGACAAACATTTATTTTTCTTTGGAATACTTTGCAGCGATGAAATAATCACAAGAAGACCAGGAATATGTACTAGGAAGGTAACAAGGGTCAATTTTGAAGACACTTTTAACTCTGGGTTGAGGAACATCTTGAATTTGGGTTAGATAATATAGCGTGTCAAGACGCATCATGCAAGGTTTGACGTAAATAAATAAAAAAATCTTTTCACGCGAATGCTTTTGACCTATTTACATAGCACATCTTTTCTTTTAAAATATTTAAATTAAAATTTATTTTGCAGGTTTATCATATTGTCCAGTCAATGTTATTCAGTGTTTGAGGTAACTCATTACAAGTAATGTGAGTTAGGTAATCAGATAACTTTTTTTCCCAAGTAACCCGTTAATTTTAAACAAAATTCAATTTACAACAAAACATCTTTTTCAAATAAGTAACGCAACTTTGTTTTCCCATTTATTGACTGACAACTCTCCTGTCCACATGTTGAGAGAAATCATAAGTAAGATGCAGAGGTGTTGTGTGTAAATATGATGGTTATTGAGTTCTATGTCAATGTCAGAATATTACGCAAATCTGAAACATAAATAACACAGATATATAGGCTACTTTATGTATTTAATCTTATTTTATTACCCAATGTCTTTGCTACTGACCTTCAATGATCCAACGCAACCAATACGCAAAACTGACTTTAGTTAAACATCACATTTTTGTTTTGCTTTTATTGCTGAAGTAAGAGTGTTGAACTTCTCCTTCGTGTGAAAAGGTAACGCAAAAGTAACGTAACATTACTTTCCATAAAGAGTGGCCAAGTTTTTTTAGGAAGTAACGCACTATTGTAACACATTTCTTTTCAAAAGTAACTTTCCCCAACACTGATGTTATTGGTATTGTATGAAAAAAGAATGTTAACCCAGGGTTTACAAATCACAAAATTCATCAGTGTTGGCAGTGAAAGATTGTTCATAAGAAAGTTCCAGAGTTCATTATTCAAACTGAAAAACTCAAGCATTCTTTTCTAAATATTATTTAAAAAAAAGAAAGAAATAGTCAAATCCTGCTCTTTTAGTCATGGCACATTCTTGTCCTGTGTGAAGGTTTTTTTCATGGACCTTTGTTGAGAATAATTTGTCCTGATAAACAGAAAATACTCATCTGTGCTTTATCAGCCTCTTGTCATGTTATTGTAAATACAGAGGGGATCTGATTTAGGAATAGCGTCAGTGTACATCTGGCTTATTGTAATAGCTGGTCAGCACTTACTCTGTGTGGCCATCCTCGAAAAATGTCAACATATACTTTGATACTGAGATACAAACAAAATACTCCAGATCTAGTCATGAACATAAATACTGTCAGTAGCACAGATGCGTGCCAAGAGTAACAGTTTGTTTTATAGATTTACATTATACGTATAAGTGTATCTGGACACTTAAAATGTGTGAATGTCATTGCATTATAGATGACAATAGTGTGCAAACAATTGATGCTAGAAATCTTCTCAGAACTAACGTCACTTCCCGTATTAACTGGTGTTTTGGGGATTTTTAGTGGATGTATGAAGTCAATTCTCCTCAAGTTCACACACACTGATAAAAATGATCCTGTGGTGAAGTAAATACTACAGAAAAACAACATGTAATATCTACTGAATAAGTTTAGGCAAAAATAAAAACAAAGTCAATTCTACATTGAAGCTTGCAGAAATTAAAGAATAAGTATTTTTATAAAATTAAAACATTTAATTTGTAAAACCTCAACTTTCTGATACTGGTGTTCCTATCATGCACTGGGGCATGAATAATTAATAATGTTGCATTTTTCACAGTTTTCCAGCTGTTTTTTTCAGTTGCTACTCAAAATGACACATTCATACTCAAAAATGATCCCACGAAAGTTACCGTTATTGTGTATTGTGTACCAATTATTGACGTCTCTGTGTTCGGGTGGGTATACACATTACTTCTATTAGGTATGTTGTCTATACTCTACACAATATCTACTGTATATTTTGGATGTTCTAAGTAAACATATACTGTAAAGCATGCTTAATGCACTGTTATATTGTTAGAGTAAAATGTACTGGAACAGAACTTTGCAAAGTTAACTTCAACTAAGTAGAAAATGAAATTACTCAACAAACTTTAACTGGTCAAGTTAAAGTTGCTTATTTTCTGTGTTAATTTAACTTAACTCAACTCAGTTAAGTAGATTTTACTTAAAGGTGCTCTATGTAACTTTTAGCGGCCTCTAGTGGTGATGTTTCAGATTGCAACCAAATTTTACAAGAGCGCTCGTGCTCAAACTCATAGACAATACCGTCTATTACGCAAATATCTCGGCGAATACTAGACGGATTCGGCGAGCACCGAGCTCGTTGGGACCATCTAGTCGAGCTGAAAAGAACCATATAAGTTCCATAGTTTTTGGTGGTGTTTTCGCGGAGATATTAGCAGAAAACCATCGGGCGCGCTGCAAAATTGCGGACTCCGGTGACGTCACGATCTCAGAAGAAAATCGCTCGTATCTCTGGAACGCAAAGACCCAGAGAGCTCAAATTCGGGGGAGGAGGTCCCAGGGGAACCCTTGCCCCAATGCTAGAGTGGCGGGCCTCGGGGATGCCCCCTACCGGATCGCTGTTCGCTGGGACCCCCGATTTCGAACGCCTATAACTCGGGGAGCCGGGCGAGTTAGACCTCGGGGGTGGGCTCGTTCAAAAGGCCCCGTCCAGCACTACGAACGATTAGAGTCTTGGGAATATTGATCAAAGATTGACTGAGATATAAGGCGAAAAACGTGCGCCTTTAACCGGACGTAACTCCCTGACCGTCTACAATAGACTGTATATAAGGAGAGAGGCTCGGGAGCGCGCATGCACGTCACATCCGTTGGATTTCGCGGTAAATCCGACCCGGAGACTTCACATAGAAATAGGAATACTGGCCTTCAGAGGTAATAGCAAAACTCGACAAGTGGATCATTTTAATGTGTGATTACAACCCCTTCACACACAGGCAATAAAAAAAGGATTCATTTTAGTAGAAAAGTTACATAGAGCACCTTTAATTCCATAATGTGAAATTTATTCAAAAAATGTGCGTGCAAAAGAAAAATTAAGTAAATTTAACTTTTTTTCCGTGCAGTAAAGTTCATCGCATTAATGATCCACCTAAGTTTGAGAGCCACAATATAATGTAATCCAATGTAATGTAATATAATAATAATTGAATACTTAATGCTTTCTCTGTTTTAATATCTCACAGGTGCATTGGTGATTGTGTTTGGAATCTGCTGGGCTCCTTTTCACATTGATCGTGTCATGTGGAGCTACATTAATGACTGGACTGCAGAGAACCACCATGTCTTTGAGTATGTGCATCTTCTTTCAGGTGTCTTCTTCTACTTGAGTTCAGTGGTCAATCCCATCCTCTATAACCTCATGTCTTCACGCTTCAGAGAAATGTTCCGTGAGGTGGTGTGTCAAAAAGACCATCGTCAGCTCTCAATAAGTAAGGTCACATTACGTAGTGTTGTTTCTGCCTCTTTTTCTGCCTCCAATTCTGTCTCATTTTCTGTCAAATTCAACCCTCGTGGCCTGCCACAGACTCTCTAGACAATACAGGGGATTCTGTTCAAGTTATTTGATCCGAATGCTATATCAGTTGCGCTGTCAAAGTATTCAATAAATAGTCTATACAGTTTTATGTAATAAAAACATAAAGCAGCAATAACATTAGTGAACGCATTTACATGACAAATTGCTTATTGACTATCTATGCCTAATAACCTGATGGCATGAAACGTCATGTACACTATATCGTTCAAAGATTTGGGGTTCGATTTTTTTGTGTTTTTAAAAGAAGTCTCTTATGTTCACCAAGGCTGCATTATAGTTTGATCAAAAATACAGTACAAAACAGTAAGATTAAACAGATTAAATAAGATTAACAGTAAGATAAAATATTATTACTATTTAAAAGAACTGTTTTCTGTTTTAAAATGTAATTTATTCCTGAATTTTTAGCATCATTACTCCAGTCTTCAGTGTCACATGATCCTTCAGAAATCAAACTAATATGATGATTTGCTGCTCAAGAAAAATGTTTTTTTTTTTTTATTATTATTATGGTTGAAAACAGTGGTGCTGCTTAATATTTATTGTGGAAACCTTTTTTCAGGATTCTTTGAATGTTCAAAAGAACGGAATTTATTAGAAATAGAAATATTCTCCTTACATTATTCCTGTACTGACTTTTGATCAATGTAATGCATCCTTGCTTAATAAATGTAGGCTATTCATTTCTTTCAACAACAACAACAACAACAACAACAACAACAACAACAACAAAATCTATCTGGACCCATTTTTTTGTTGTTGAAAAAAATAGATTACAAAACAGTATCATTTCAAATCTCATATATAACATATTTTCTTGCACTGCTGAATTTTTTGAAGAAGCAGATTTTTGAATGTTATCAGTGTTTTATTGTGTATGTAAACTCACTTTGTGACGCCATCAAATATAATCTGCTTTATAAAAGAGTTATTTATATCGAGTAACTCAGTTTTTCACAAGAAATTTGTTATGAAAGTAGTCAGTGCTGTATCTGGGCAGTCTTCATACAGTAGATGCAGCTGTGTCTCGAGACTGATCTGAGTTCGAGTCTTAGCTCACGGTCCTCCTAACCTGGCCCTAGCCAGATGAATTTCGCTCCGCCTAGCTTCACTCACATCCATCTGGAACCGATCCATTGAAATGGCGTTTCAGAAGGCTGGGCCTTATCAAAAATCCTTGCATATGATTGGATAAGCCACTTGTCTGTCATCTTTATCGACGTGCTATTTCAACCACTCACACCGAAGCCAACCCGTGACGCTGAAGAATCCGGTCGGGAGAAGGCACTGATCTATATAACATCGTTTCCACCAACAAAAGCCTTAAAGGAGAACTCCGGCGCAAAATGAACCTTTGGTCTAATTACACATTGTTACCTAGTCAACCGTTATCTGAGATTTGTTTTCATGATTATCGAATGTAAATAGTTTTATCTCTACAAACAGTTTAGCCTATAAAGCTAGTGTATAACGCTAGTATATTGGGCATAGTGTAATGACAAATAAAAATCGCTTGTAAATACCACTAACAAGGCTCAAAATAGCCCCACACTAGCACGGTAGAATAATGAGGGTCCCTTCCTTCAAACCGAAGCATTGAGAACTTTGTCAGTGTCCAGACAGTTTAATAAGAAGATATTTTAAACATACAGTCAACTTCGCGTATACAGGCAGAAGCCATCTTTGAAATACAGCCTTTACCAGTCGATCTACGAACGCCGATCCAAGCCTGCTGTTCGCGCTCACCTTATCACAACTTATAGCTCGTTCACATTCTCACCAGCGCACTTGGATCGGCGTTCGTAGATCGACTGGTAAAGGCTGTATTTCAAAGATGGATTCTGCCTGTATTCGCGAAGTTGACTGTATGTTTAAAATATCTTCTTATTAAACTGTCTGGACACTGACAAAGTTCTCAATGCTTCGGTTTGAAGGTAGGGACCCTCATTATGCTACCGTGTTAGTGTGGGTCTATTTTGAGCCTTGTTAGTGGTATTAACAAGCGATTTTTATTTGTCATTACACTATGCCCAATATACTAGCGTTATACTAGCTTTATAGGCTAAACTGTTTTTAGAGATAAAACTATTTACATTCGATAATCATGAAAACAAATCTCAGATAACGGTTGACTAGCTAACAATGTGTAATTAGACCAAAGGTTCATTTTGCGCCGGAGTTCTCCTTTAAGAGCCGTTCTCTGATGTTCTTTTAATGAAACAATATTAGGTAGATTGGACAACACGGATGAAATAGCAGCATCAATATTAACGCTTGTTTCCTCGATGCGAGCCGCCATTGTTGTCTGAATCAAAACAGTCTCACGGTCGCTTCTCCACTACGTCACATCTATGAAACTCCCGCCCTGCGTCCTGATTGGCTAAACCATAAAGTTGGTTGGAGAAATCACTCTCAATGGAAGAGGTTCCAGATGGATGTGAGTGAAGCTAGGCGGAGCGAAATTCATCTGGCAAGGGCCAGGTTACGGTCCTCCTCCTTTCTCAATGTTTCCTGTCTCTCCTCCTACTGTCCTGTCTAATAGAAGCCAACAAAATATAACTTTAAAAGAAATTGGTCAGTTAGTGCGTATTATTTCTTCTCCGCCAACGAAAATAGTTCCAAAAGAAGCCCACGCATCGAGTTTTGCGTGTCACCAGGCAACAGCACAAACACTGAAAGCCGGACTGGAACCACGTATACGAGTGGAGCGGAGTGAGATTGCCCATTTCCCACTGAAAAACACTGATACTCCGACTTCCAATAAAACGTCTGTTGGCTCCAGGCAGCTGTGCTCGGCTTTTCCTCAGCACTGCACACAGAGGCTGGAACACTATGGAGCGACACACTGTCATACTCACTGACTGGTCTTGTAGTGCCACATAGCCAGTCAAATTTAAGGATTGGAACATAAATGACAGAATTTTAAGTTTCTATATAGAAATAAAGTTGGTAGATGAAGTTACACCACATTCATTAAAAAAAAAGGAATATTTCAAGGATTCTTTGAATAATACAAGGTAATGGATATGACAATGTTGATATAAGTACTGGACTTGCTCATGCCAATACATAAATACACGACACGCTGCTGTGAGTAAGACATGCTGCTGCTGTACAATATAGCGTTCATGAATAACCTGTAGATCTAGACAGGTGGAGCTGGGGAAGGTGGAGGGTTTCTGAAAGCGAGCTGCACTCATTGGCTCATTGGCTACTGATACAGCAGGAACCAATCAGCTGTGCCCTATAGAGATGATTTGATTGCAAGCAGAGTTAAGAAGCCCGAGCCATGGAGAACTTTATATATATTCGAAATAGAAATATTTTGTATGTAACGCTATAAATGTCTTTTTTTTTTTATCAATTGAATGCATCCTTGTAAAATAATAAATCATGTCTTGTTAAATACCATCCCGTTCTCATCCCAAGGCATCATATACTGACGCTTTTGCCAAAGCGTCTATATCCAACGCACATGGCACCCTTTAGCGTCAATATGAGACGCAGATATATGGCGCCTCATAGTGGTCTAACCCTAACACTACCCCAGACCTAAACCTACCCATAACCGAAGCGTGTTATATTAAAGGGTGCTATGTGCGTCGGATGTAGACGCTTTGGCAAAAGCGTCCGTATATGACGCCTTAGGATGAGAATGCGTTGCAAATACAGTTGCATATGACGCAGAGTATGGACAGCAATTGTAAATCTTGAATGATTCCAGTAACTAAGTAAGTTTCCCATCATTTTTACTGATAAAAATCTACTTTATTATTTTGGACTTTGGAATGTAATGATGACGGTAGATTTTGCAACACTGTGGTGATGTGATGAGGTTATGTTAGACAGTTTTTCATTTTATATGTTTATATTTCTTATAAGTTGTGTTCTACAACTTCTGTTTTGTAGGAATGTAATCATAGTGAATGTAAAATATTCAAAATATATTCTATAAATGAACGATTTACTAAAAATGAGCAATAGATTCATTTATATCGATATATTGTGATTTTGCAGATGTCTGACTCTGTACAGAGAACTGTTGTGTGTGTGTGTGCATGAGGTAAATGTGTCTTTACTCAAGGGTGAATGCTAAAACCATCGCCTGTACTTTACGATCTTTATCTATATGCTTCTACACAGAGCCCATACATCAGCTGTCAAATCTAAGATGATAAAAGTGCTTGTATTTCATTGATTATAGTCCCCAGAGACTTTGTCAATTGCATAATATGCTAAATATGCTAAAAATGTGTCATAGTTGATTTCATATTTGTTTAGTTCCTGTTTGTACATGCTTTTTCATATTGTTTTCAATGTCATTTGCCTTTTTGTTAAATAAATATAAATTCACTTGTATTCCAACATGGCAACCTACAGGTACATTTAAATGATTTTTATTTATCCCTGTAAATACTTATTTCTATTCATTTCAGTTTAACTTCATGTTGAACTTTTGGCTGAAACACTTTCTAAGAATATGGGTGACACTTTACAAAAAGGTTTCATTTGTTAACATTAGTTAACTACATTAGTTAACATGAACTAGCAATGAACAATACTTCTACAGCATTTATTAATCTTACTTAATGTTAATCTCAACATTTACTAACACATAACTCGAAAGTTGTATTGGTAACAGTTAATGTTGTGAACTAAATATATTTTATTTTACTGCATTTATTTAATCAAAAATACAGTAAAAACAGTAGCATTTATTAACAAATGTTAATAAATGCTATACAAATATATTACTCATTGTTAGTTCATTAATGCATTAACTAATGTTAACAAATGAGACCTTTTGTAAAGTGTTAACAAAATATGTATAAAAGAAATACCAGAACTAGCATTTTAACGTGCTCCATTAAAAATAATTGAAAAGCTGTCAGTGTCACTCCTTTATCTATTATAGTAATGATCGTATTAAAATGTTTATATTGTTTACATGGAGTTTCTTTTTGACATTTTTTTCTTCTTCATTTTTATAACATGTTATGAAATATGAAATATCTCTGTCTGACATTCCATATAGATTGTAATTCAAAAGAAAAAATCTGAATGGATATTGCAAGAATAATTTATCCATTTAAAATATCTATAGTCTTATTACAAATACCTTCATTTCAGACAAAAATGCAAGATAATGAGATGACAACACAACACAGAACATATTTTACATTCAGATTGTGGAGCATCTTTAGAAGTTAAAACAGTCCGATCTCATGAAAGTGCGTATCTATCCAACAAATGTTATTTCTCGAGCCATTTATACGCCAAAATAGTTTTTGCGACTATATGATACGCAGTTTTCGCGTGCATATGATACGCACTTTATGGCGTGTAATACGCACGCACTCCCCACCCCCCTAAACCTACCCAAGGGGTTTTCAGTGCGTAGCATATGCACGCAAAAACCATTTTTGGCGTATAAATGGCACGAGAAATGACATTCGTGGTATACGCACTTTCATGAGACTATTTTGGTTAAAACGTATGTAGCAATACAGATTTAAAGAAATTGTTCTTCTGCCATTTTGTTGTTTAAAAAAAAAGGTATTAAAAAAAAAAAATACTCAGTTTACTGTACATCTTGATTTTTTTTAAGTTAGATTATTTTAATCTAAATCAATTGAAATCATTTTTAAAGGGATAGTTCACTTTGAAATACATTTTTGATATGTTTTAGCTTACCTCAAGGGCATCCAAGATGTAGGTGTCTTTGTTTCCGCAGTAGTTTCAATTTTGATATTTTTAGGTCAAACCGTTCTTGTCTGTCAGTCATATAATGCAGGTCTATGGTCACCACCTCAAAGAGCATGCACAGAGAAGTCCAAATTAAACATGATTTAATGCCTCGGAAATGTAAGTACACATTGATGGCCTAAGACACGAAACGAGCGGTTTGTGTGAGAAAACGAACAGTATTTATATCGTTTTTACCTCTTGTAACGCACAGACCGAAGCGCCCGCGCCCTCAGATCACTTGGACGTGGCTGTGTTTACAAGAGGTAAAAACGATATAAATACTGTTCGTTTTCACACACAAACCGCTCGTTTCGTGTCTTAGGCCATCAATGTGTACTTACATTTACGAGTCATTAAATCATGTTTAATTTGGACTTCTCTGTGCATGCTCTTTGAGGTGGACCCCATAGGACTGCATTATATGACTGACAGACAAGAACGGTTTGACCTAAAAATATCAAAATTGAAAATACTGTGGACCAAAGACACCTGCATCTTGGATGCCCTTGAGGTAAGCTAAAACATATCAAAAATTAATTTCAAAGTGAACTATCCCTTTAAGGCATCCTGTGGCCCTCTTAGAAGTGTGCTGAGGCCCCCTAGTGAGTCGTGTGTTGATAACCACTGTTTTAGATGCTCAATGTGAGCTTAAAAGGCACAGTATTGTAGCACAATGAGAGGTATTTGTAAGAAAAAATTATGTTTTATTTTTGGGTGGAACTATTCTTCCAGCACTACACATAAAAAGGCAGAAAACCGATAGTACAATGTCTATATACACTGCATTTCTGAAGTATACGATGCATCACATTAAGTCACAGTTGTAGGTCCACTGATCAGAAGTACATGTAAACACAGACAATAGCCCTTAAACCACCAGACCAAATAACAAATATAGCATCTTATTAATAATCTTCACCTCACTAGAGACAAAATGTCTGCCAGAAAGTACAAAACTGAACTTTAAAGCAGAATTTTGACTAGAATTAAATTACACGGATGTCTTGGTGTCTTTTTTGGAGATCTCCTTTATAGCAGCGTACTTCCTCTCGAACTGCGCCACATCAAACTTCCTCTTGCAGCCAGCATAATTCATAAAGCGAATTTTCCCAAAGATGGGCCTCTCTGCCCAGCCCTGGTCATGGATGCCACAGATGGACCACATGCATCCTGTGAACAATTCATTTATAGAATTACGTATGAAAACATTTTGGAAAGACTGATGACACCGTTAAAAAATTTGAGGTTAATGTTTTGGAGAGAAGTCTCTAATGCTCATCAAAGCTGCATTTATTTAATCAAAAATACAGTAAAAACAGTAATACTGTGTAATATTATAATAATTTAAAATAACTGGGTTTTTTTTCATATATTTAAAAAATATTTATGACGCATCATTACTCCAGTCCTCAGTGTCACAATCATTCTGATATGATGATTTCCCGCTCAAGAAACATTTATTAATATTATTAATGTTGAAAACAGTTGTGCTGCTTAATATTTAAGTGGAAACCGTGATGCTTTGTTTTAAGGATTATTTGAAGTATAGAAAGTAATAATAAAATAACAGCATTTATTTGAAATAGAAATCTCTTGTGACATTATAAAAGTCTTTACTGCCGGTTTTGATTAATTTAATGTGCCCTTGCTAAAAAAAACTGACCCCAAACCTTTGAACAGTAGGATACTTTTTCCATATTCTTAGCATTAATGCCTTTATAATTTATTGTAAGACAATATTTGATGCAGCCTGAGCAAACAAAACACCATTATGTCTCTCACCCACGTATCCATTGGGATCGCAGCCGTCCAAAGATAAACGGTCATTCAGATATATAGCGATAGAGAGGGCTTCTTCAGGGGACGCAGTCCATTCCAGGATCTTCTTTGCCCAGTACATGCGCAGGAACCCATGCATCTTCCCTTCTGACACCAGCTGACGCTACAACAGACCAGCAACATTCACTGGTTTTGCCATTACAACAGTAATTATAAGACAACCAAAAAACTGTTGTTTAGTTACCTGAGCGGCGTTCCACAGCTGATCGTGGGTCTTGCCGTTCTCCAGCTGCTGTTTTGTGTAAAGGTACTGTCTGCTGTCCTTAGAGTGCTCCTGCAAAGTCTTCTTCGCCCAATCGTACGCACCTGTGCAGAGAAGTCTTTAAACAAAGGCCAAGACGATCTTGACATCTGTGTGACGGAGCAGCACTCACCTGAAATATCATCGTAGTTGTGGTTGTAGAAGCAGAAGTTGTCGGCGAGCTCCCTGCGCACCACCAGTTCCTCGGTAAAAGACGCCACGGACTCGCTGGCGTTCTTTTCTCGCTTGACCTGCCTCACGATACGCTGAGCAGACAGCTGACCTTCAGCAGAAAACAATCATTAACTTAACTGCATCTAGATGACACTGGAAGCCATTTACTTTAATTGCATAAACAAAAGAAAAACACACAGACTGACCGGTGTGGAGCCAGGGGGAGAGATGGCTGAGGGCGTCACAGTTGGGATTGTTCCTGTGGGTGGCAAAGAAACGCAGGCGTTGATCAATGAAGGACTCCAGCATGGCCATGCCAGCAGAGGTGCCAGGCTGAGCCCAGTCCACCTCGCCAACACCACGGTCCACCTCAAGAGACGACAGCACCTCCTCCCAGTCTGTCGGCTGAAACACAGAGGGATTTTGACATGAAGAAGATGGGAAACACCCTGATAAGTAGCATGAGGATTCTCTGACATCGTGCATTTGACAATGGCAACAATAAACAATTCATTAAAAAAAAATCAGTTTGATTATACAACATCAACAATATAAAAAAGAATATTATTGTTGTTGTTATCTTTTATATATATAGGATTACAATATGTGTTGTTGTTATTATCGTTTTAATTATTAATAATAATTTAATTAATAATATTATCATTTAAAAAAATTGAAGAATATATTTCCACTATTTTATTTATTATTGTAATAATTATTATTAATAATAAGAAGGAACACTATTTAACAATGATATTTATTATTATTATTATTATTATTATTCAAATTATAAAAATGAAATCAACAAAGAAATATATTGTTTTAATTATTCATAATAATTCCATTAATAATATTATTATTTAAATTATAATTACAAAAATTAAAGAATATATTATATATTATCACTATTTATATTACCAATATATATATATACATATATTTATATATTCAAATTCAAATAATACCATTTTAGTGTAAAATAAATCATTATGAATAATAATTATATATTATATAAAAATAATAAATTATTATTGTTGTTGTTGTTCGTCTTATTGTTGTTTATATTGAAATAATAATTATTAATAATAATTGCACTACTACTACTAATAATAATAATCAGTAACACCAGTTAACAATATGTATTATTATTATTCAAAATTATATTTGCATTATTATTTAAATTATAAAAGAAATTGTCAAATAAAAAAATTTGTATTAAATAATAATTATTATTGGCAACACTTTACAATAAGGTTCATTAGTTAACTACCTCACTTAACATGAACTAAGAATGAACAATACTTCTTCAGCATTTATTAATCTTAGTTAATATTCATTTCAACATTTACTAATACGTTATTAAAATCAAAGGTTGTGTTTGTTAACATTAGTTAATGCACTCTGAACTAACATGTACAAACAGTGAACAGTTGTATTTTTATTAACTATCATTAACAAAGATGAATTAATACTGTAACAAATGTATTGCTCATTGTTATTTAATGTTAGTTAATACATTAACTAATGAACTGTATTGTAAAGTGTTACCATTACTACTACTATTACATGTATTTCATATTTATTAAATACACATTTTTTTGATGTATTTGAAAACATAGCTATTTTTTCCTCAGATTTTTCATGTCAGAAAATACAGAAATTCATATAAATATGGAAAAATCACATCTCTGCTACAACTACTATACAATTCTTCACCAAACCTTTGCTGTTTGAGAAGCGGCGTGTGGATGCGTGTCCACAAGCGGAATCTCAGTGAGGAATTCTGGGAGAAGTTTAGTGATTTTGCCCCGTATTGTCCTGGCTCCATATTCCAGCTTCTCAGATGCTTCCCAGCACGGCACCACATTATGTGCATCGACCTGGATTTAAAGTAGCATGGTTTCAATTCAGTGCGTACTGGGAGAAATGAGCATTACAGTAGTGATGATGACACAATCACAAGTGCACAAGACAATAAAGCTAAAGATGACTGGCACACCTGAATGAAAGCGATGTCGGACGGAAGGTGTTTCTTAACAGTCTCAATCCACTGGAGGGGGATCCTGAGAGGGTTAAAGTCAGTGACAACGGCTCCAAAGTTACAGTTTTTAACAAAGGTTGGCAGATTTTGCCCAGGTTCCCCTGACAGCAGATGGAACTGAATATCCAGGCTTTTGCATTCCTGTAACAAGAGACATTACATTTGATTAAAATACCACACATTAAATCTCCCTACTACCCAAGCCAATCAGAAACACCGGCCAGTCCCATGCCAGATCTAAATAATGTCTCTAATTTAGGGTGTATCCACACCTGTCTTGTTTGGTTTGATTGAATCAAACTCAAGTTCGTTTCCACCCTTGGTGCGGATCTTTTGGCCAGGTGTGAATACAGCAATCGCACTCGGGTGCGGACCAAACAACCGTACCGAGACTTAGCACACGTGTGGTTTTGTTTACAAATTTTGGTTCACTTGCAAAAAGGGCAGTGTGAAAGGGAACCACACCAAACAAAAACAAAATCAACATTGTATTTGGTCCGGACCAAAGCAAGTGAACTAGCGGATTTTCTTGGTGTGAATAGACCATGATTGGTCATAATGCAATATATTTGTACCTTTGCCACTTCTTGCAGTCCTTTTAGCATAAAGGCGTACTGTCTGTAAGCTGCATCCAAAAATCGAGGTACCAAGCAGAAGCAGATGTGCAGAGGAAGTTTCTCAGCCAAGGCCAGCTGCTGAGCATAGATCAGTGCCCAGTTATCTGCAACACAAACAGCATAAGTGTACATTTAGAAAGAAATGAATACTTTTTTCAGCAAAGATGCATTAAACTGATCAAACGTGACGGTAAAGACTTTGATCATGTTATAAAAGATTTATATTTTAAATTAACTTCTTAAAATAAAATCATCGTTTCCAGGAAAAAATATCAAGCAGCAGAAAATAGACAATAATAATAAATGTTTCTTGAGCAGCAAATCATAATATTATAATGATTTCTGAAGGATCATGTGACACTGAAGACTGGAATAATGAGGCTGAAAATTCAGCTTTACCATCACAGGGAATAAATTAGATATATTAAAACATGAAACAGTTCTTTTAGATTGTAATAATATTTCACATTACTGTATTTTGGTCAAATAAATGCCTTTGTGAGCATAAGAGACTTTCAAAAACATTAGATAGCTATCTTTTGAACGGTAGTGTAACTGAATTGTGCTGAGCAACTTTCTCTTTCTCTGTGTATTTTACCTTGGACTCTTTGGTCGCGAGACATCCAGTAGAGGACCCCATCGGAGCCCTGTTTGATTTTCTGGGTGCTTGATAGGTAGCGGAGGCGCTTTTTGTTGAACTCGCACCCCTGCGCGGCTCTGCGGAGCTCAGACACTTCCTCCAGCAGCCAGCCGGACTCTCTCCCTCTCTCTCCTGCGGGCTTCGGCTGTTTCCCACCGGACTCTCTCCCTCTCTCTCCTGCGGGCTTCGGCTGTTTCCCACCGGACTCTCTCCCTCTCTCTCCTGCGGGCTTCGGCTGTTTCCCACCGGACTCTCTCCCTCTCTCTCCTGCGGGCTTCGGCTGTTTCCCACCGGACTCTCTCCCTCTCTCTCCTGCGGGCTTCGGCTGTTTCCCACCGGCGCTCGCGGTCTCTCTCTGGCGCTTCAGGCTGCGCTTGTTTGCAGACATGCTGCTGATGTAATGTTGTGGAGTTGTGTTTGGATCGCTGATGGCTCGGAGGAGCAGCGCTCTTCTGATGTATCTGATGGACAAGCACGTAGAAAACAAACTACACATACAATAAGTTACATACACAGCGAGACGTCAGATAAAAACAGCAAGGTAATTTGCATGTGGTGGACGATGCGTTACGAAAATAGAACAGAACAGAAATACCGAATAAATGAAACTAACGTCAATTTCTGCAGCCTGGCCTGCAACCTTCCCTCACGTGTAGATGTTTTGTAACACACCGCTCATTGGCCAATGACTATCAAGGGGCGGTGCTTACGCGTCTGCATATCCAACCATTTTCAGTTGGGTAACATTTGCATTACGATAGTAGAAATATATTTATATTTATATAAATATGTAGATGTTTATATATACATATTATATTAGTACTGTGTATTAATATATAGTACATACTATAAGTACTGTGTTTGCCATATATTACAGAAAATACAAGTATTCATCATATGTGGAAAGGATTGCTCCATTTTATTTCACACAAAATGTAAGGACTTGTTTTCTACAAGAAAAGCTTGAAAAGGCCAAGTCCTTGGTATTTCCAGAACAAACTCCATTTCCCAAGAGCCTCAGCTCTAAGTGCGTAGGTCGGCGCAGGCGCAGAAGCGTTGAGCGCTCATTGAAAGCTGGCTAACTTGCTAGGCTCAGTTTGTTCATCTGGGCTGTTTGGATCGTGAAGGCAGTGTGCAGTTTGTTTCTTCGTATCTAATATCGAGCGAACGGCATAATGAGCAAATCTAGTTTTCAATCGTTTGGCGGTGGCAGTACAGATGGTCCCGATAAGGTTGACATGTCTTTAGGTAACTAATGCCACTGATAAAACTAGCCTAGCGTGTTTAACGTTAACTTAGCTGTTTAGCATTTTGATATTGTATATTTTATTTATCACAGCTTGATTCGGCGTTAACATAGCATCAATCACTTGTTATCGGAATGTAATAACATTACACCTTTGTCAATATTGTATTGTATCATAACCACGTTTAGAGTCATAGCTTGACTGCGATTAGCTACATTTACTGAGTATAATTTATTTAACCAGAATGCTAATTAGTGTTTTCAATACATATTCAAGTACTGTTTTATTGAATTCATCTTCATGTATCATAATTGTGTTTTTTCTATATATGTGCTGCTTACTCCTATTTTTAATTGAACAACCCAACGCTTTGCATGATGTGACTTATATAGTTTGCTTTGCTCAGATTTATTGCATTCTTATTCCACAGATGATATTATTAGGCTAAATAAGAAGCAGAAACAAATCCAGTTCCAGAAGGCAAAGCACAGACTCCCTGTGAAAGGCCGCTTCACCCAGGGGAAGAAAACTGTGTCAAGACCTGGAGTGCCATCTAAAAGAGGTCAGAATGTGAACCTATCTTTTTTTTTTTTATTGATTTATTATAGAGTCCATCTAATTGTATAATTTTATGGAAGCTTGTTTCTGCCACGGAATATAAAATTCTCGCAATTGCTAGGAAAGAAGTCAGAAATGTACCTTCTATTGAAATCTTCCTGTTAAGGAATCAAGATTCCATAATATATCTCCCTCTTTTTAAAAAGTTGATGTTTTCTGAAGGCATGTTTTAGGATTACAAATTTTAACAACAGCCACAATATAACAATGAATTATTTTACTTCAGTGATTTATCTGATTGAGCATTTGCAACTCTTGTTTTTACCAGTAGTTGGAGGTGTTGTGAACAAACGTTTTGGTCAAAACCGCAAGCTTCCGCCCACGGTGGCCAGGCGTCGTGGGCAGGGGGTCATCACTGGTTTAGCAGCCAGAAAAAATGCTGCTCTTTTTAAAGGGATCAGTCCACTCAACCGACCTGCTCAGAACAGACCAGCTCAGAACCGGCCCATGCCGAACCGGCCCATGCCCAACAATGGAGCTTTTAACCAGGTGTGGAAACTGATCTTGCACTGAAGGGTGATTATGGGAATTAGTTTGGAGATGGTCAAACTTTGGGCTTAAAAGGTGATTTTTGTTTCACGCATGTGTGAAAGAATTTAGATGTTCTTGTTTTCACTTGTCTCAGAGGTCTCAGCCATTTGTCCAGCGGCGTGACACCCAGCGGCGACAGCTGCCGTTTCAGAGGAGACCAAACAGACAGATGGACTCCCAGAAACCTCAGGGCCCAGTTCCTCACAGACCCTTTCAGCTTCGCAGAAAATGGTGAATTTTTTGTTTTGTTTTAATAACTGAGAGGAAATCTGTGGTTGCTATGTGCCGTGCCCTACAGTGTTTCCCCTACCATTGTTTTGGGGGGGGCGGCCCGCCCCCCCAAAACGACCCCCCGCCCCCCCTAAATTGCTGACGAAATCCAGTCATAAAAAATAAATTTACTGTATAACACGGAATTTCATGGAATTTGTCAATCTTTTGAGGAATAAATAGAAAGCAGTTCAGTATACACTTGAAATCAAATCGCGATGTAGACTAGTGTGTGTGGATATTAAACCACAAAGACAATTTAAATACGAATCCTGCTTGTTCTGTGTGAATGAATGGTGCAGCCGACGCGCAGTTTCATTTAACATTACCACACACACACACACACACACACACACACACACTGAAGCACGTGTGACGCTTGCGCTGTTTTTTGGCCTATATGAAGACACAAATGCATAAACTTCCTCTCCAGGCTCTAGATCCACTCCGAAAGTCACTTCGTGATCATTTAACCGCTTCATTTGAGAAAAACTATCATTATGACATAAACACACAAACTCAAAAGGTCTTCACGCAACCCGTCAAAATAAAAGTTCGGTTTAACTTGACAGAAATATATTACCGTTGTACAGTAGAATTTAGATATGTCCCAATGTAATAATACACTAACACTAATCCAAATAAATTATCATCAAAACTGAATTTAAGGAATAATCCATGTTTTAATTTTAACAGTAAAGCTCATTGTGCAGCACGTTATTTGACAAAAAGTTGATTTAATTCCATATGATTAAAATTGATGATAAATGATAAAGTTTGTGTTTTATGTCTTCATTTTATTACCAGAAAAAACACAACACAGAATTAGTGTGATTTTTTTTTTTTTTTTTTTTTTTTTTTTTTAAATGTTGTATACGTTTAATGATTCATAATACACTATTTCAATTAATTAGACATGCTTTTTGATTGCTAAAAAATTTACACCACGTATCCGTAACACACCCGCTCCGCAACACTAGCAGTTCCCCCCGCCCCCCCCCCCCCCCCCCCCCCTGAAAAAAAATCCTAGGGGAAACACTGCCCTATGAAAGCAGACGTGAAAACATGGTGCATAAGAAGCCACAACTCCATGTGAAAAGGCACATCTTGAGTTTACCAAAAATATGTAGCTTGTAACGGCATGGGGTTTTTTTTCTCTCAAAATTAACTATTTAAATAATCAGTCAATACAGCAATCCTTCTTCCAAAATGTGATTTTTTGTTTTACCCTGATTCACTGTGGTAAGCCTATTATAAGTGTTTATATTTTAGACCTGTCGGGATGTTTTTCGTGGGAAATTGCGTACATGCGTCACTCACCTGTTCGTGTCTCATCATATCTGTAAATAGAGAATGGTTTCTCTGGTTACTTGGATGTGTGTTTAGTGTAGGAGTGGAAAAGGTTGACATGGAGCAGCTAAATATTTGAACCTCCAGTGAATCACCCGTTTTAAACAAACGCCAAACAGAGAATGCGACAGAGCTCGTAATAAAACAAGAATCAACATTGGCTTGGCTTTTTGAGTGTGGCTAGAACTGAGGGATTTGAAATGTTGTAAAAGAGACGCGGAGATGCAGTTTTTATTACTCAACAATCAATTGCTGTACATTATGTATGTAGCTGTCTAACAGAGTTCATTGTAAAGCATCATCTATTCTGAAGGGTCATATTCATTTGCACAGTCACACAGAACTAAAATGATGTTCTTTTGTTTTTAATCATTAGAGGGCCAAAAGTTACATAGTGGACCTTTTAAATTATAGTTTCTGAAACATGCATGAAATAAAAAATTATATGGGTTAAATGTCAATGTTAGACTTGTAATTCATTGAAAAGAAGAATTTCAAGTGAACAAAATCCTGATGTAATTCTGATTGATTACCATGCTTTACATAGAAAAAAAAAATCAGGGTGGGACTTAATATCATAGGAAGTTGTGACATTGTGGGAACGGTTGAATAATGACATCATTCCTTCATTCATGGTCTTTTTTTTCCTCCAAGTTGCCTCAGTGATGTGTAAATGTCTCCTGTTGATCATCTGCTTTCTACAGGAATGCTCCATCTGCCCAGCAAACACAGAGAGAAGCTCGACAGGCCACCTTCCTCTTCAGAAGAGGACTTAAAGTAAGAAGCAAATTATCTTCCGGCTCAGAGCAGCACAGAAGCTGTTCACCTTATCATTTGTTGTCACTAGTGCGTCCATGGAAAAATTCCTTCTGGCAAAAAGCTGAATAAATGGTTTCTGATCATGTGACCTTCCAATTTTAAAGAGCCTTTTGTTTCACTTATATGTGTAACATACCGGTAGTTTGCATACAGGCTACACATCGGCTCTTGTGACCGGGTCACACTCACATTTCACTGTAACATGTTTAAATTAGAAACTGGTCCTTAGAGTTTGTGTATAAATTGAATCACATTTAATGAGTGTTTAATGAATCGCACATTAAACTCACAGGCTATCATTTCAAGTCAGTCTGACAAATCCTTCACTGAATAAACGCACTGTATCAAAGTCTCGTTCGAATCGTTAGTTCAGAATTGTTTTTTTTAGTGACATTACTGATTTGATGTTCATATAGAAATGTTTGTAAAATACTAATTTTTATTCTGAATTAAAACTCAAGACCAATACAATGGGATTGTACTGGTTTGATTCCCTGTCTCATACAATTTTATTTATTTATTTTTTAAATAGGTTCATGCACAAGTTCAGAAGACACAGTCTGCTCCACCCACACAGCGAACTCGCTCGTAAGTAAACGATTCAAGGTTGGTTTTTTTTTTTTCTTTCTTTTCTACGCTATCACTTTTCAGTGATATTGCTGCAGTTGTTACACTATTATTCTACTGGGTCCAATTATCATGTTTCTGAAGGTGTCATGTGACACTGAATGATGCTGGAAATTCAGCTTTGCCATCACAGGAATAAATTACACTTTAAAATGTAAAACGGTTATGTAGAATTGTAATAATATTTAACAATATTAAGTTTTTTCTGTATTTTTACTGATCAAATAAATGCAGCTGAGCAAAAGTTACTACTTTCAAAAAGTCCCTTACTGATTTCCCCCCCCCCCCCCCTTTTCCACCAGGTGGCGCACTCCTACAAACAACAGTGGCATCCTCACAGTGTCGATAGAAAACCCCACAGCTAGAACACAGCCTGAGTACGATTACATTTTATTACTTTTGGATGCACCATTTCATAACGCATACACCGCTTGTCATTCAGATGTGTTTTTGTATTTGAAAGGATACTCCTAAAGCTGTCTGTTATCTTTAACACGCCCCACATGTTTCAAAACCACATCCATTAGTTCTGTCTTGTCATTTTAGTTTGACCGGTTTAACCTTTGAGGCTCTTTTTGACATGTTGTGAATGCTTTGAAGAGTTTTGAAGCGCATAACTAATGTATTCTTTCTTTTCCCCCGTGGCAGACCTGCTCAGTCCTGGTCGCTGCACCCCGTGACTTCAACAAGCTCGTCACCTCCACCTAAAGAAGAGCCAGAGAGGAAACCTCCCAAAGGTGTCGCCCTGCAGTTTGATATCAACAGTGTTGGAAAGCAGGTGGGACAAATCACAATTATATTTATTGTCGAGTCACTGAAACACTAAACTAATATAAGATAACCATGTTGTAATGCCTATTTTTGCATAATTCAGTCAGTTACAATTAATTGTTTACTGAAACCGAAATGATTACCTCACTTGATTGCGTTCCCAAACAACAGGAATCTGAGCACCAGATAACATGACCGTTTATTGCGTTTTGTCTGCATGCTTTGAGACGTCATTCATGGTGTAGGAAAAAAGAGCCATTGGCTGGGTCCGAAATGGCATAGTCTCTTGAATAAGTACGTTCTATATGTATATGTGTGTAGTATGAATGTAATCCGGATGTACTACATTGGCCATGTTGTCATTATCATGTGACCTACCAGTGTCAGTTACATCACTTCACTGTGATTCACTAATCTTCTCCTGTGGCCTCATGGGAATAGTAAAGTTTCCGTAGTAGGTCATCCTGATGCTGTTTGCCTACTCTTTAATGAGTATTGTGAATTCGGACACACTGTTTTTCGCCTACTAAATAGTAGGAAAGGATGCGATTTTGGATGCAGCCATATTGGCTTGAAAATTGGATGAAAACGATGCTTTATTTGCAAGCGTTTTATGCTATGTTCCTAGCCTGGGAAAACCCAGACAACTTCCGGCAAATTTAGATTTGCTCTGAAAGTTAGTCTGGCAAAGAGCTCATTCAAGCCCATTTCCAATCCGCCGAAATCGAGGCACCAATCAGAAACGTTGGGGCGGGCTTTACACGATGATGACAGCGCTGGGATTTTGAAGCAGATTTTGTAGCCTACATTACAAAGATGGATGCCGCCGTCGAACATCACTCGTTCGAATCAGCTATCGCGTCTGTTTTAAGCGATTTGAACGTTTCCTTTTTGTTAACAAACGAGCAAAGAACAACACTCGGAGATGTTTCTCCGCCGCTCTGCATACGTCATCTCCTTCATCGCTCTGATTGGGTTTAGGTCTATCCGCGACGTCCGTTGGTGACGCCCCTCTGGAAATGATTTGTCTATGACGCTTTGCCAGACCATAACTCAGTTACAACGGAGAATGGTCTGGTTTTAACCAGGCTACTATGTTCCAGTTATTCGTAACTTTGGTTGGAAACAGCTTAAGTCTGATTTGTCAAACATTTTTTATTTATTTTTTTATCTCTATAGTTTTGTTGATCTAATCCACAATCCACTGAATTATTCATTGATGAATAAGACTGATCCGATTCTCTAGTTCAAATCATTTACATCCACTTAGGAAATCTGCTTATGACCTGAATTATTCCACTAAATCCTGAACTTTAATCTGTGTTTTGCCTTCCTATTTGGAGAAAAAGCAGTCCGTTCCCAAACAGCTCCTGGAAACGCATTTACATCCCGTTATACCAAGATCAATCCTGGTAAACCCGATGGTCACCTTGATTTGTTCTGCTTTCCTTTATCAGACCGCAATGACCCTCAACGAGCGGTTTCGCATTCTGAAGGACCAGCGTGTGGCGGCAGCAGAGCAGAGCAGCAAAGGGGGCCGATTCGTCACTGTGGCCTAGAGCTGAACTCAGAGACACTGCTCACGTGTGTCTCTATTCCTGATCTCACTGAACAACAGTCCTTCAGGACAGAACAGGCAAACAAGGACCGGAGCTGAACTAACACTGTTCATGAACTCGCATTAAATACCCCTGATGGAAGAGACTTCGTCAGAAAGTGGATACGCTGTTTTTTTTTGTTTTGGGAAAGTTACTTTTTTTGTTTATTTTTCAAAAAAAAAAAAAAATCTGCTGTTCTGTCAAAAGCAAGCATAACTGTCCTTGAATTTCAGTTAAGTTGTGTCGTCTCCTAATCTGCCCTTGATATTTGATGGCGTTCTGTTTTTTATATATATACATAATTCTGTTGCAGCTCGAAGAATTTAAACGTTTCTGGATAGACTTTGTTTTTCATAAAGCGGTTGTATGAAGCAGAACACGTTCTTTTTGTAGAGCAAAAAAAGACTGTTTTAAGATGTTTTATATTTCAATTAAAAAAACATTGTGTAACAAATGTCTCATTTTTAATCTGTTAGCAGATGATGAATATAAACAGCATTCTTTGTAATAGGCAATTTTAAAGGGGTCATGAACTGGCTTTTTACATTTTTTTATATTGTTGTCTGAGGTCAACTTATGACGTTCGCTTGGTTTTTACATTCAAAAACATCAAAATGAATAAGTAATAGGCTATTTTCTACCCTAGTTTTGAGCCTAGCTCAAAAACGCTCGGTTTTTATGGGCGTCTCGCATTGAAGACTTGGAAGTAAACGCCCACTGCTGTGAGTGGATAACAGTTTTGCATATTATAATGAGTTTCGTGTAATGCGCGAATCGGTGGGCGGGGCTAAACCGGCCGTGTTGAAGTAGGCGTTGATCTTCTTCTGCGGGGCTGGTGTTTTATCCTCTTTGTCGTCATAGTTCCCCACTTTGAAAAACGAGTCGTTTGCTGAGCCTGGTGTCAATAAAAGCTATTATTGGACTAACCAGCGGTGCGTTTCCCGAAAGCATCGTTAGCCAACTATGGTCGCAAGTTGGTCGCAAATCCCATTGAACTCTATTGGTAACGACGGAACTTGCGACCATAGTTGGCTAACGATGCTTTCGGGAAACGCACCCCAGGACGTTTTCAGTTCTGAAACTTACAGAATATTCTTATAATATGATGACCTCTTAGATGTCAATTTGATTTCTCAGTTCATCACTCCTTTAAAACAAATAATAATTTTATGTACATTATGCATTCAATTAATTTCAGTGTTTGAAACTAAGGGTATGTTTACACGATAACGATATGCCTAACTAGAAGGTCCAACACATTGAAAGTTTCTGGGATACTGATAACTACACTGAACAAAATTATAAACGCAACACTTTTGTTCCCTTTCGAGAGGTTCCTCCTATTGCGTAATAGCTTACGCTATGGGAAAACTCCTTTTCTCGAGAAATATTGAAGTCTTTATGTAAAACGCATTGCAGCTGCACAGCATACAGCAATGAGCGAGGCAGCTCGGTCATTGGCTGTGCTGCGGCAACTTGCACGAACCAATGACGGGGCGACTCTGAACCCGCTTCCAATGAGCGTGCTTCGCGCCCACGCGCGTCAGAGCCCGCCAAGATGGGCGTGGCCAAGGGCTATATATTGGGCGCCCCGTCGTCTGAGTTCTTTAGATTTAATCTCCTTCAGCAAAGAACCTTCTCTTCGCTGGATCCTCCGGATTTGTTGGAGTCTTTTCGCCGCCGCCGTCGACAAGCCTACAGCAGGACTGCTTCGAGGACGCCGGCGCCTTCAGCCGCCTTCGATCGCCCTTCTGCTAAGCCATCCGGCGCGCATCATCTTCTAATATCCTTTCAAAAGCTATCAGTGTTGGCCCCCGCGACACTTTTCTAAAAGAGCAAATTTTACAAGGCGTTGTTTCAAATGCCTTCCTGCGCCTCGTGTCGAGGCCCTCTTCAGGACGGGGATCGTCACATCATTTGCGCCCGCTGCCTGGGACCGGACCACGCAGAAGCTGCCCTTACTCGAGGCGGATGTCCCGAGTGTGACGCCCTGGGCCTCACCGAGCTGCGCGCTCGCTTCGCCGTTTTCACCGCGAAAGAGCCCACCTCTTCCGTGCTGCCATCTCCTCTAGTCGAGCCGCGAAAGAAAAAACGCCGCTCACAGAGGCCGCCGGAGCACGCGGTTTGCAGTGATGTCACGCCGGGCCAATCCCCGCGTGCTTCACCACCACCCGAAGACTCCCCGCCGCCAGTCCAGTTCACACAGGCGGACCAGCACCCCTCCAGCGGAGCGATGGGGCTCGTCTCGTTTGGCGCGTCAGGGGATGACGATGATAAGGATGACAGTTTTTCCTGTGATGCTGCATCCGACGACTGGCCGGGCTCGTCCTTCGACCCCGCGCCATCGACATTAGCGGGGACGAGCGCGGGCTCCAGCATGGACTCGGAGATCGTCCGCATTCTCTCTAAGGCCGTGGAAGACCTCGGGCTCGATTGGTCTTCCCCGGAAGAACCCGCCCGCAGCCGACTGGACGAGTGGTTCCTGCAGGGGCGCCGACAGGCCCCTCGACAAAGACCCTCCCCCTTCTTCCCGGAAGTTCACGACGAACTCACGAAGTCGTGGAAAGCCCCGCACTCCGCTCGCCTGAAGCCTTCTTTTTCTTTGTCGCTCTCCTCTGTGGACGGCGCGAAAGAAAGAGGCTATGAGGGGACTCCGCCCCTCGAGGAGGCTGTGGCCAATCATCTGTGTCCACCCTCCAACGCTGGATGGAAAGCTAAAGCTTCTCATCCCTCGAAGCCTTGCCGGTCCACTTCAGCTCTCGCCGGTCGCGCATACGCCGCCGCCGGCCAAGCTGCATCAGCGCTTCACTCTATAGCTGTCCTCCAGGTGTTTCAAGCCAAACTTCTCCGCAGTATGGACGAGTCTGGACCCGATCCTGAGGCATTTAAGGACCTACGCAGCGCCACTGCCATAGCGCTGCGAGCTACAAAAGCCACCGCCCAATCCATCGGCCGTGCTATGGCTAACCTGACTGTCCTTGAGCGCCATCTGTGGCTGACGCTAACAGAGATGAAGGATGCAGATAAGGCGTCATTTCTCGACGCGCCTATCTCCCAAAGCGGCCTGTTTGGACCAGCGGTGAAGGAGTTCGCCGAGCGCTTCACCGAAGCCCGTAAAGACTCACAGGCTATGCGTCACTTCCTGCCCAAGCGATCTAGCTCATCGCAGAGCCGCCAACGGCCGCCTCAGCAGCAGCGAGCTAAGACGGAGCCCCCCGTCTCTCAGCCCAGACCTGAAACAGATTTTCGACGCCGCTCGCGCTCTGCCAACAGGAAGCAACCGCCCGAGCGACGGGGACCTCGGCCCAAGATTGTGCTGAACCCAGAGCCTCGTAAGTCCTCCTAGCTACAGGGAGGAAAAGGGAGAGCGCGTGTCTCGCAAGAGCCGGACCGTTCTCTCCAAAACGTTTAAAGCATTACCCAGTCCCCTTACAGGCGGCTGGAAATGTCTATACAGCAGCCAATGTGCCAGCCACACAGCTCGCCCACCTGCAAACAAACGCCGTTTTTACGGCGACACACAGAAATCACATAAAGAGCTATTTTCTGCCTGTGTCATTAAAGGGTCACGTGTCCACACCAAAGTGCGCATTCCCACATATCAAAACTGTCAACGCAGTGCCAAATGTTTTCCCAGCTCAGGCTGGACGCCCCATAAATGTAGATTGTGTGCCAACTGTCACGTATGCACCACTACACACAAGCACTGTTCCCACAGTTATAAACACTTCCCCAGTAAAAGCGGGAAGTTGTATAAGAGTAGCGCGTGTGCCCGCTGTTATGCACGCACCCCAACTCACAAACACTGTTTATATGGCCAAAAACCTCCCGCCACGAGCGGGAAGTTTTATGAAAGTGGCGCGCGTGCCTACCACAGTTTATGCACCCCCACCCATAAGCACTATACACACAGTGTTAAACATTTCCCCATCTCACTCTGTGAGCATTACAGCGAGCGTGCCTGTAATCTCACACGCACCCCTGCACTCGGCATTCAACAGAGCTGCTCAGCGCGCGCCCGCGCCGCTGAGAGCTGTAAGCTCGGTATTAACACAGAACGATTCGCTGGCGGGAGCCATACGTCACTGCGACACGCCCCCGGCCAGCATTCAGCCCGTATCTGTGCGAGCGAAAGCTTGGGAAAATATCCCTGACATGCCGAAATGGGTTTTGAACATAATAAAACACGGTTACTCGCTTCAATTCGCTCGCAGACCGCCCCGCTTCACAGCAGTGGTAGAGACGAAAGTGAGAAAAGATGTTTCACATGTTCTACGCACCGAGATGCTCAAACTGATACAGAAAGGCGCTATAGAAACAGTCCCCCCTCTATGAGCGAGGCAGGTTTTTACAGCCGCTATTTTCTCGTCCCGAAAAAGGATGGCGGTCTCCGCCCCATTCTAGATCTCAGACATCTGAACAAAGCTTTAATGATGCGCTCGTTCAGAATGATAACAACCAAGCATATCCTCGCGCAAGTTCGCCCGGGGGATTGGTTTCTGTCAGTGGATCTGAAAGACGCTTACTTTCACATTCCAATAGCGCCTCATCACAGGCCATTTCTGAGATTCGCTTTCGAGGGACGGTCATACCAGTACACAGTACGAGCATTCGGCCTGTCACTGGCACCCCGTACATTTACGAAATGTATGGATGCAGCAATTTCCCCCCTGAGACAGCGGGGAGTGCGAATACTAAATTATCTCGACGATTGGCTAATACTAGCACAATCAGAGAGCCAGTTAGTGACACACAGGTCTTGGATTATCAGTCATCTAGAGTGCCTAGGTCTAAAAATCAATTTTGCAAAGAGCATGCTATCCCCCAGCCAGAATATTTCTTTTCTGGGAATAGTGCTAGACTCAGTGCAGATGACGGCGCACCTCTCATCAGAGCGCGCGCTCACTATCCGGCGCCTTGCAACATCGTTCAGAGCGGATGCGCGCGCCCCCGTCAAGCGATTTCAGAGGATGCTCGGTCTCATGGCCTCAGCATCAGCTGTACTCCAGCTAGGATTGTTGCACATGCGTCCTCTCCAACGCTGGCTCAAAAGCCGTGTCCCCACTCACGCGTGGCGCTCGGGCCACTTTTTAATCAGAGCAAATCACGGCTGCATAAAAGCCCTGACGCCCTGGAAA